GAAACTGTTGGGTAAAACTTAATCCATGGTATCTGTTAAGGCAATTATATCCAGCTTGCCTCCATGGTATCTAATATACCTTAGCAATTACGCACAGAGGTACATTTTTTTTCCCTTGCATTTGTTTATTTATTATATTTTATTGCTGTTGTGTTGATTGGACAAAAAGTGGTTTCATGGCAGGAAGATATGTGGCGATTCCCGTGTTTTCAAAAGGGAGATAATTCCATATTTAGCTTTCTATTTCCTGTAATGATATCTCTCATTCTTGTTGCAGACAGTTGTTTCAGAGAGGTGCTTTGAGAAGTCAGGTTAGTGTAGGCTGAAGAGATTCCTGTCTCTGAACTGTCCCATAAAGGGCTTTGAAAACAGATGAGAATCTTAAAAATCATGAAACAAAGGGGCTTAAGAAGATACACGATCTCTAGTCTATAGTATAAGAACTGTATTTTGCATGACTGAAGCTTTTGAAGTCTCTTTCCCTGATTCACATGATCCTTGGAAGCTACAAACACATGACTATACTGTGTCCAAGACATGATGCCATTGTGACCAAGAGTGGGTGCTTCTTGACTAGGTTTGGTCAAGTCAGGCTGTTACTGCAGTGCTTTGTTCAATTGGCTCCAGTCTTCATGTGTTGATTTGAAATAAATTAATTTGTCACAGGTGCTGGTGAGTCTAAGATAACCTGCACCATGCTGGTACATTGGCCCCTGCCTGAGTGTGCAGGTGACCTGAAATAAATTCTAAAAGTACTGAGAGCTTCCATATTTTTATCAGTTATGGTAATCATGACCAGTTGAGCATTCATTCTAACATTTTAGGACTCTCAGTCATTAAGTGTTATTTCTTCTGTTAAAACCACTGAAAAACAAAGACCAAATTGTGAAGATCTGCACTGCCTACTGTGAGTAGTCTATATTTTGCCATGGACAGGCATGAATGGCTATTTAGGATTCCAGAGAAGCCTGAGACAGAACCATACTATATTTTCCTCCACTAGCTCCCAGCTAACAAGTAACTTCAGGAAAGAAAATGTCCTTGATGTATCAGTTTTTTGAAATCAACCATCTTGCTCAGGACAGCTAATTTCTCAAAACTCAGACACTTCTATGAAATAAAATGCAAGGTATTATTTTTAAATGAAGAAACATTATTTTCATTTGCATTTCTGCAGACATAAAATGGCTAAAGAATTTTTCCTGAGATTTAGAGAAGTTGCCTTTGGCCACGAAGTGTGAATAGAGAGTTGTAACCCAAAGGTAATATTTTCAGCAGAATCTTATCAAGCAAGCGGCTGAAATGAAATTTTTTTCCTCATCTTATCTGTTACCAATGGATGATAGGTTTTCCTTTCATCTTCTGTATGATACCTCCCTCAACTGCATCTGAGTCCATGATTAAATTCCTGATTGCTAATTAATACAAGTTATTATTTACTGTTATTATTAAGTAAGGGCAGGGCTGTCTTTATCTGTCTGTAGGGTCTGCCCTTATATCTGCTCTGGGTATTGCTACTACAGTGGAACTGAATGTGCCTCAGCCTCATGCAGATGCACTGTGTCAGAAAACATCTGCTAACTGCTGATTTTATGCATATTACAGAGACTTTATGTACTGTTAAATGGACCACTTTTTCATTTCAAACCATAATTTTCCATGTGGCATCATTTGATCTGTCCTCACTCCAACATTTGGTTTGATCAACTCATTTCTTCCTACCCAATATGTTTGTTGTAACCTCCTCTACGGCTGTGTGTGTCCTCTCTGTGAATGGAAATTACTACAGTGCTCCTGTCATAATAATATGGTGGTAGGGCAAAACGTGTAGTTTTAATCAATATATTTTATTTCCATTAGCTTCTTTCATCACCGAGCTTTAGTCTAGACAGCTTAGGTCTGGTAATGCCAACTGCTACCCAGCTACATACATGATCAAATGCGGGTTTTCAGGAGTACCCAGGACACTTAACCGGGTACTCGGTTTAGAGCTTAAATGCAGTTGATGAGGAGAAGCTTGTCCTCCACACAGAACTTCACTGTGCCTGTACACTGAACTTCTGAATGGAAGAGACAGAGGGGCAACTTATTTGGGTCACTGCCCTTTGAGAACACATCCATTTGAGCCCTGCTGTTACCCTCCTGGCAGTTGAGCTGCCAGGCCGTGGCAGTAGAGGGTGCAGGAGGCAGAAGTGGGAAAGGGTTAAAAGGGGGGCCATTCCCTCTGGAGATGGGGCATGCTTTGCTACAAATTGTTTTGCTTTGGTTTTCTTGTGACATTTAACTTTATATCAGCTACCTGTCATTCCCCCATGGTTAAACTTGAAATTACTGTGGAGAGAGTTACTTTGTAGATCCAGGCTGTTCATGACTGCTTTGCATGGGCTGTGGAATGACGAGCTTTTGTCTGCTCATTCCTAGGAGTTCTTGAAACAATAGGTCTCTTCTGTACCTGTTGAATCATAACTTGGGATTAGTACAGCTCTAATTACAACAGCGAAGACAGTACTTATTTGGTAACCTTTGGTCATGGTGACATTTCTAGAGGCTACAAGGAAAAAGATATAAAGTTTGAATAACACGTACCAATAATTTCTGATATGTGTAAGTAGCTGGAGGAGGGGCGCATACTGCTGGGGAAACATTTTTGCCAGATAAAACATCACACAGTCTTTCTTGGCAAGCATAGAACTCCACTGGTACATTATAAAATAATAACAGCCTCCCCCCCCAATAGATTTTGCATATTTAGTGATTCTGACAAATTTGAATAAATGTGATTTATTGTTATTAATAATAATGCATATTTAGATAGCTCTTTTAATCTTCAAAGCACTTTATAAATACGAGTTTGTTAACTAGTCCTTGCAACAGCCTTGTGAGGTGCAGAATTATCCAAATATTAGAGGTATATAATGGTGCGCAGTGCACCAATTTCCAGCAACCTTTTAACAATGCATTGAAGTCTGATATATGACCTGTATCCTTGTATTTCTGGAATATCACACAGTGATATATATGTATCTAAAATAAGTGATTCCTTCTATGAAAACAAAGTAGACATATCACTTATGTGTGTATAATTCTCTTCCAATTCATTTTCTCAAAAATTATAATTTAGTTGTGCTTGAGGTAACAGTCAGGAAAGCCAGCAGTGATGTTGGTGGGGAGACTGAGGTGCAAGACACTAAGCTCATTTTTGTGGGTGAGGGAAAAAAGCTAGTTCCTATCTCATGTATTTTGCAGTCCAAAAATATGATAAGAGACAACAGATGGATACAGCAAAGAGACAGAGACATCACGAGGTTACAGTAAGAGGATTACAATTACTATAAGAAGTGGTGGTCATAGCACACCAGCTGTTTAACCATTCTCAGATAATTTTTTAGTCATTGCAACAGTAAGAGTAAGAGTATTATTTGAAGGAAGGTGACATAATGACTAGGCAGACTTTTTTAATGTTTCCACATGCAGATGTAAAGACATATGGAAAATACCTTCTTAAGAAAATGGGATTTCACCTTTGGTAAAAACAAGGTGAGAGCTAAGGATTCTGATTTACTATATGAAATCATGATGGATGAGACAGGGATAAGAGATAAACTGAAGTGAATTTGGGTCTGAAGTGAAATGCAAGGTAAAGGCATGTAGTGACAGGGAAGTGAGGTGACAGGAGTGAAGTGCCAACACAGAAGATGACAGGTGTGTTTTGATAGAGCTGTTTGGTAGAAGCTGTTGCAGTTCTGAGGCTGTTTCAAACTCTGTAATGAAAGCCTTGTGTTTCTTGACTGTGCTACAGGAGGTTGTGAGGACAGTCTTCCTACACTAACTTTCTGTGGCCTCCATGACGCGGACACCAGTACTGTGCTTTGCAGCTATTTTAGTCCTGTGCAAGAGTGGCTTGCACTTTTGCTTGTTGTTCAGCTCAAACACTCCCTGTGTTTGCACATGTGCCTTAAGACTCAGTTGAAACACAGGGAAGGAGTGAAGATTTACATACCACATTAATCTCTGATCAATGTGGTCTCCATTCTTCACTGCTCATGGTAAAGCCCTCTCCACGCATCACTCCCGAGGCTACAGATTCTTTACCATGTTGCCATACCAGCCCTTTCAGACAGCCTGGTATGGTAGTTGCACATATCCCCACTGCATACCAAGGTGTAATGTAAACATATACAAACCATTTTAAACAGGAAACAGCCTTGTTGTGGTAGCACTGAGGTCTGTGCAAATTAATCTGTCCTTTGAAAAAGGCAGTAACCCTAATTTGCGTATTATTTCCAGTGTAAGCATTTGGGTTTTGATCAAGCAATTAATGTACTTGATGGGAGTCTTTCGCATTGCCTGCAGTGGGCTTTGGATTGGAACCATAATCCGGATGTCTCACATGCATATACATCCTTAATTAAAATTTTCTAAATTACTGTTACATAATGAGTATCCCAAACCTCCTGTGAAGCATTTCCAGTTAAGCCAGTGAAATAAAATGCACTCGGTGTCTTGCCATCACAGTTAACATGAAGTAGAGCAATTCTCTGTACTGAGTATTAAGACAGGTGAATTATTGGTTCACTGAGAACACTAAGTGAATGTCCTGACTTTTGCATGCTTGCAATTTATAAACAAAGCTGCTTTACTGTAATTTTGCTGCGTTACACACATACATATATATATAAATATGCACACTCTCAGAAAGTTATGATCAGCTTTAAAAACAGGCTTAGAATGAAAATAATAAATCAACCTTAAATGCAGCAACTGCTTCTACTGTAACTATATTCATTCAGTTTGCCAGGCATATTTTAAAAAATATAATAGATTGCTACACCTTTTTACCAAGAAGAGATGCATCCTGTGGCAGCTGTCCATCATTAGGCACAGAATCATTTTAGACTTACCTATATGAAAAAACTGAAGCAGACCTCAATCATACCCCCTCAGTAGTGCAGTGAAAGCAGTCTTTCAAATTTTAACTCTTTTTTTTTTTTTTTTTTCAGCAGGAAATACCAGTCTGGTCTCATAGAGAGTGCTCTGACTTGGATTCATATGACCTGCTTTCTATTCCTGGCTCTGGCTCTGAGTGACCTTATGAAAGTTATTTTTATCTACTATTGTTTTTAAATGTGCAGAAAGAGGTTTCCTAGCAGAGTGGGCCAAACATATCCCACCTCCAAAACTTATCCATGAAGAAGCTACACACCTGTACACGTACAAATGCCAGTCAAGTGTTTGCCTCAAATAAGCTGCTCTGCCTTTCTCCCTTGTACGCTGTCTCTTAGTTCTTTACAGCATAAGAGTCACAGCAGAGTGCCTAAATAATGTTCTTTAAATATACATAGCTTGAAAAGACTAATTACACATACACATTTCTACTCCAGTCAGCTGAGGTGATTTCTGAAAGCAAATACAGCATGGTCAAAAATGAACTTCCCAAAATATTTATGGGCTTACTGTACTGCTACACCCGATACATGATAAGTGTTTTTGGAAAACTGCCTTTCCCTTTAGCAGTATAACTGTCAGACAACACTTCATACACAGCAACACGAAGTCATTGCTTGGGAGATAATCTTTTATATGTTCCTAACAATACGCTCTGAAATCCTACATTTAAAAGGGTTTAAAAACACACAATACCCCAAACCATCAAATAAGCACTAAAAGTAACATGCAGAGCCAGACACAAAACCAGAATGAAAAAGATTTTTTATTATTCTCCTCTGTATTACCATAAATGACATGCTGTATTTAATTTTACAGTGCCCCTGGACAAATCATCAAATACTTTAATAACTACACAAACATTAATATTTAAATACAAGAGATCCCCTCAGTTACTGAATAATCATAACTCTGGATTGATAGGGTACTAAATGGAAAAATCTTGTTTAGGCAGTTGTAAGAGGGGGGGAGGGTGTTTAATGAAACAAGTTTGATGGTCTTGTCATCATAAAACTGATAGATATTTGGCACGATTTATATCTTTGCTAAAAAGAAGTTTGAGGAATGGAACAATGGTGGTGAAGATTAATTTTCCCTTCTTCTGCTGTGAGAGCATAGTCCTTTAGGTCATTAGCAGGAATGTGTGACACAGATTGCACTTTACCCATGCAGGCTCTGTGCTGACTCCTGGAAAATGCAGTTGTTAAATAGCTGCGACTTCTATATTGTGGGATGGGTTGCCCAGCTATCATCACAGCTATCTAGACTCATTTTATGAGAGTGATGAATATGGATGTTAAAAGAGACAGCATACAGAATTCTGGCTGTCAGTGTTTGTTAGACCTGACCACCCGTTCTACCCACTGTCCTTAGTGGGATTTTTTTTTTTTAATTCAGATTTTGTCTTGTTGCTTCAACCACTCTTCCAATTAAACATTCTACCTAATCATGGAAGTTTGACTACTAAACCACAATAAGAACAGTGAATTGCAGGATATTTTTGATCCCTCCAGCACCACAAAAAAAACCCCAACAAACAAACCAAAACAGAACAAACAAACTAAACTAAACCAAACCAAACCAAAACAAAAAGACTGAAAGACTTCTCAATCAAAGCCACTTACATAAATGCCTGAACCAAAAGTCCGAGACTTGACTAGATTTTTTAAGTCTCCAGATCTGGGACCGTGTTCATGCATATGTACCATGTGTCTCTAAGCACATATGACACTAAGCTAATGATAACATCTGTTCAGTTCTGGACAAAGGGTTGGCTTTTATTTGTGTCAACTCATACTCTGCTTGGGTGCCACAGCTTTTGTAGCTAAATGAAATGCTTAGGGGCTGGGAGGTGGGCTGCATTCACTTACTAGTCCCTCATATGGTTTGGCTTCATGCCTGTTTCCAGGAGAGTCTGTCTCTGTGACACACCTTAACATTTTCTTTTCTATTTTGGGGCGCCAGCTCAGATTCTGCACAGAGTTCCTTTTTATTCTGTGCATTTGAGCTCCACGGAGATAATATAATTCTAGATGTATTGTGTTTCTCGGACTCTTCTCAACTGGGAAATACCCCTTTGAGGGAAGTTCAAGTGAAAATATGGATGCGTTTGCATTCTAGCTTCATGGGAGCAGAGAGAGAGGAAGTCACACAGAGACAAAAGGCCCCTGAATAATAGGACAGGGCTTGTGGGCTGGCAGACCCCGGAAGCAATACCATTAGAGTACTTCTCCAGATGTGGACAGCTGACAAACTTTAATGATGAAGGCTGCATCCAGGCCAGTTATGATGAACTAATTAAATATCTTGCTCCATTTAATAAAGGAAGTATGGAAGAATCCAGAGCTGTCTATAAATCACCTACCCAGTGCCCTGCCAAGCTTCTACAGTGGCAGGAAAGGTGAGCAAAAGAAAAGACAATAGGGCAAAACTAAAGGACTAAGACAAATGGAAGTTTCTGTGCTAGGAAAGAATGGGTGTTGTCACCCCATCTTAATGAAAACCAAAATTCTATAGAAACTCTAAAGCTACAGAACCAGAATCAGAGCAAAAAAGTTAGAACACCATAAAAAGTAAGCATAAACACTGCTGCTTAGAGCTGAACAAATTTTTAAATAAGTAATTGATTCTCTCTGTCTCGACTTTATATGCTTAATTTATCATTCAGTTGCTGTAACTTCATTTATTTTTTTTCCCTTTCCTTGTTATAAGGTAGCAATAAAACAAGAAGTTGGAACTGAGTTCTTGAGATTAAGAAAAGATCTGATTACTGTCTGAGACTAACTCTGGGCTTGGGCTGCCTCCACCTCTTCTGCTGCAGTAGTAATGCATGCTCCCTTGAGAGGACAGATTTAGTCACTGAGCGCAGCCTCTTCTTCAGAAGAAGAAAATGTAAAGAGACAGCAGTTTCTAGCAATAAAATAAAAACTAAAACAACATAAAACATTTCTCTCCCACTGATTTATTTCTCCTTCATTTCAGCTTTTCTTGAAATGTACAACCCATGCCCATCACTGAGATTTTGAGCTGTTCATGATTATTTGTAGTGCTTGAGAAAAAAGCTGATTTTGCATATATATGTTAACAAAAGAAAATACATTTTCACCTTTTTTACTTCACTCCAAAAATCTACCTGAAACATGCTGAGAAACTAGAAATACGTTCTTAAAGATTAATCTCATTTGAAGACATTGAAACACTGGTGAGGAATAAAATTCTACAAAACCATATTACTTTATGGTAAAATTGTGAATGCAATGTACTGGAATGAGTAATTGAACTCCCCACATTGCACTGTGATTTCTCCCTTCCCCTATATGTGCATGGGTGTTTGTATTTTTGTACAGACGGGCAGCAATAGAAAGCTACTCTAAAAGGATGTTTTAGTGAAGTCTTTCAATTTATTGTTAACAATTTTTTGAGATGCACATACACTTTCCTCATTGCCAAGCATCCTCTTTCAAAGATATCTTCCAAGTCCTACAATCTGAAGGTTAGAGTGTCTTTTGCATATCACTTAACCATTCTGATTGCTTCCTATTCCTTAACAGAAACATAGATAAGCAACTATTTTGTGAAACTGTATTTTGAACATCTGAAGTAATTTCTGGGGCTAGTCCCAAAGTATACTGGAAGCATGAATTAATCCTCTGTGGTCTAGAAATCATAAGTGGAAATGCTGGAGAAGTCTTCTGTTCACCAATAATGCAGCTCACAACAGAGAAACTATCTTTTCTTGAGCCTACTGTGAAATAAGAGGTACTTATGTTGTCTGTGTTCATAACATCAGTGATGCCCAAAGCAAAGAGATTACAAATATTTTACAGAGTTCTTATCACCAAATATGTACTCACAAGGATACAGAAAGGCAGAAGCTCACATAAGAGCTACAGAAGATGGTCATAGCACTCTATTTACCAGTCTGTTATCTGTTTGTTGCCATAACCTCTCAGAAAGTACAGATTATTGTTCTACACCAAGTTTCCTTTACTTTTTTTTCTAGAGCAGGCTGGATTTTTCTTAGGATGTCACTTTACACTCTTGATATTTAACTTTGCAAATGAAATGAATTGCTGAAAACCATCTTACACAAACCACGAGTCATCAAAGATTTTGCAAAAAAAAAGTCCCTGTGCAGATCAAAACTACTTGGCATATGCAGTGCTTGAAATCTTGTCTCCATAATGATTCTATGATAAAAAAATGCCCTCCCGGATTTAGCATATTCCAGGCGGGATTCAGGGACACATCATGTGTACTGGTTGTGTGTAGCCAAGATACCTTCCCAACTCAATATGGGTCTTTCCTGTGAAAATCTGTGATACTGGAGAAGACAGTAACCAAAGCTACCATTTTTGCTTCACAGGAGGAACAAACTTAATGAAGATAACTGGTTGCAGAAGTATCAATAAATCAATCAGTGCACACATTTGTTTCACTGTAAGACCAGGGTCTGACACCCTTCAGGCTCAATGAACATTTTGGACAAGCCTATGGATGCCTGTGTCAGGTTGAATAGCTCCAACACTTGCCATTCTTCCAAGAGTCTCTCTTTAAACTGCTGCAGTCCTTCAGCTCTTGTGCTGCTGTTTGTTTCCCGGTCAGGCATAGTCTTTTAACAACACTTAAGTATTTTACTGAGATGTGGTTTATCTTGAGTTGTTTTCCTTCAAACTGATTTTAGTGTTATCCTCTGTTAAGCTAGAGCTATGTTTTCATATTAATACAGAATGCAGATTCCTTTACTGTGTAACTATATTTTGGCATCCCATGTCAGGAAGGCGCATGTAAGTAAATTCCAAAGCTGCACAGTCTGGAATATCTCCAGGAGGAAAGAAAATATATTTATTTAGGAACATAGAAATAATCTCTATTATTTACGTGCCAGTTAAACTGACATTGGTGCTGTCATTTTCGTCAGATAGGTCTCATTCAACTACGGCAAGAAATTAGTCTCTGTCGTCACCTCAGTCACAAGGAATGCCACCAGGCTCCAAGGGACCTCCATCCCTGTGCTCCAGGTAATACAACTGTATCCAACAGTTTTCATTCTTGATGATTTCTTTCTTGTGTCTCTTGCTGGAAAAGGGTGAAAATTAATGTGTTTCAGTGGTGGATGTAATTACCCTGATCTGTCTGAAGCACATGATGACTTTCATTTGTTTTAAGAGTTGCTGTAAACATGCAAGCAGAGCAACGGTGTACAATGAATATAGAAAATAATCAAATCATCTGGTTTTGATGAAAGTGTGCAAAACTCTAAAGCACACTTAAAAAACATGAATCAAAAGTTTATTGAAAATATAAAGCAGCTTGTCCTCAGCAAATTTATGATTTACATCAGATTAAATGCACCATAACACACTTGGGTCAGTTTGAGAGTTGGGTTTGAATATCTGGAATAATATGTAAGGTGTAGAAAAAAATGTGCATTTGCAGCAAATCTGCTCTGATGGAACAGCAGCAATAATGAGGTCTCATATCTTTGAGCTCCTGGTGGCATGAGAAGGATCCCAGGGGCTTAAAGATCAGCTGATAGATGGCCCATTTTCCAAGACAGGTAACATGCATGCCTCTGAAAATTTCACTTGAGTATGCTGATATTTATTTCAGGGGGCAAATCCTCCCCAAGCCAGATATCTCCTAAGGCTGCTGAGAAACTACATTCATTGCTATGTTCATTTGTAGGGGGCTTTAGCTTTTAGAGCAAGAGTAGCCTGTAAATACCCCAGGGAAGGGACTTTGTCCTGTACCCTGAACCAATTATAAAGGAGATTCTTTTATGGACATAGGAGTACAAGAATCACCACGCTGACTCAGATCTCTCTGCTCCAATGACCCATCTCAGATGGTGGTCATTACCAGATAGCTCAAAGGAAGGTGTAAAAGCTAAAGGACTGCATAGTAAAGACTGGATTAAAACAGGAATGGAGGTCTAACTCACTCTGTAAAGCTGTTATGATCTCTGTGATAATTCTGGATAGTTTAGTTTCAATGCTAAACTGATAAATTCTTGGCATCAGAGACTTCCAGAAGTGAAAGGCTTCCACTAGATAATTACTGGTTACATGACACCATTCCCCCATTGGCTTTGAATTTCTCACCTTTGAACTTCCCTGCATGTCATTTTGTTCTTGCGTCACGATATGGGGAGAACAGAAATTCCTGACCTACTTTTCCTATTCTATTCATCATTTTGTATCGTATTATCCTCTCCCCTCTTATTTGTCTAATTACTTAATTAAGAACTCCTCCATCTACTCAGTTTCTCATCATCTACTTTACTTAAAACCACAGCACTTGTTTTTTCTGGTGACTAAATTATATGCTACAGACAGGAACAGGAGAAACTGAGGTGCCCACAGCTCCTTGCGGGGGCAGGGAACTGACTGTATGACACAATTTTTTGTCATGTACTCTTCTAATAATATTATGTTGAGTGAAAGTCCTTGTTGGTCCCAGGTCTACAAGATGTCCAGGTCCTATTCTGAGCTGCTACCTCTTCAGGAAAGCACAAAGTACTCAATTATATCCTGACAGAACAGACCAGGAAGGGAAGAATTCTGTGCCTTCTTGTATGATTTCATACAGAAGCACCAAATGCAACCAAGTCCTGCCAAAATAATGAAGAGACATTGACCATTTGATACAAAATAAGATCTCTCAAAATGCCTTTTTTTTTTTTTTTTTAACCCTAAAACAAAGAAAAAACCTATTTGGAAGAAAAGTTTTCACTGTAAGACAAAATGTCTTTCCTGTGTCCAAAACACTTATATAACAGGAATGAAGTAATGACACTGAACTTTTGTCTGTTCAAGATAAAAATCACAAATTGCATGGCTAGGACACCGTTTTTCAGATGGTCCATTCACTGGAGCTTGGCTACTCAGAGTTTTACTGTATTCCCAGTTATGTGGTGTTGAAGCAGAAGTGCTGTGCAGTGAAGATTCAAGGCAGCGCAAGAGAGAACAGAATTGGGCCCTCATGAAATCTTAATGCATTGTGAAGCTTTTCAGCTCACATACATACCCCAGTGAGACTGGGAAAAGCCTAGTTCAAAACTGTCTAGCAGTGAGAGGATATGGTTCAGTTCTGCTGTGATCTAATGAAAGATGAACCAAGCTTCTTAGAAGTCTCATAGGATTTTTACCTCAGTTGTTATAGACAGGTATGTAGTTAGTATATCTAAGCTGAAAAAGAGGGGGGAAGAGAAAGGTCTGGAATTAATTAAATGTCTTCTCTTGGAATAGCCTCATAAAACTTTTGTCTGATTGAAGTCCCTACAAATAAGAAAAAAAAGCCTGCCTACTAAAACACTAAAAATAAAGTTAAACCAAAGATGTTTTAAAGATGGGACCTTGCAACTGAGAGAATTCCATGAGCTTTTGGCTTAGTGGGCTGACAGCCTTTTCTAAATGGCAAACACTTGAAGGTTCAGGTTTAGGACAGGTTGTTAGTTGCCCAGATTCACTGAGTGCTCCCAGAGGTTGTTTGAGTATGTGGTTAAGGGCTTGCTGCTCAGACGGGCTACAGAGAAACACTCAGAAGACCCTCCATGCTGAGGGTCTTCTGATTTATTATATGAATAAGCCACCAGGCCCAGACTATGCTCTTTAGACACTACTCATTTGTAGGTGGTTCTGCACATTACTCTTTCCTTACAACCACCAAACAAATTAATATTAGCATAGATATGCAAGACTGTTGCTTTTCTTAAAAGCTGAGCATTCAGTGTCTGAGGGCTTTGGGATGTAACCTTAGGAAAGTAGGGTTCAGATCAGAAAGCATTTAAGGAAGGGACAGCCATGAGTCTGGATGATATTGCTGACTGTGAAATACTATACTGACTGTGCAAATACAATAGGATTGAATATCTTGTTTAAGCTGGTGGACATGATGGGAAGGGATTACATCTTAGTTTCTCCATGTAATGACCACATCGTAAAGGGTGGACTGCAGATGAGTTGGGCTTGGGCCAGTGGATGCTGCAGGAACTGCCTACTGATGTGCAGAAGGGATGGGGCATGTTTGACAATCAGTTTTCAGTGCTTTGAAGTTAACCATTACTTGTAGTCACACTGCATATATTTTTGTCAGCAGTGGACAGGTAATGACATACAAGTGTGTCGGGTTTCTCTGTCTCCCATATGCATTATCTTGCCTTTGGTGTGAGTGGGAGTGAACCAGAAGTAGTCATGAGATGAACTAATTTCTTCTATAGGCTTGAACTCAACTTCCCAAATTAATCCAATATCCAAGTTGCTTTGCCTTCACTGTTACTTTAACTTAATTTGGCTAACTCTGGCTTGCTCACGAAGATAGGAACGCAGCTTCTTCTTAATTGACTGTGACGTGCACAGCTACTCTATTTCTTTTAACCTCAGTTTAGTTGCTTACCAGCTATGAATAGAGGCCTGGTTATTTGATCCTGGCTACTATTATTTTTCCAGTGACAAAAAGAGAACAACCACATCCAACTTCCCAAGTACCAGTAAAACTGGAAGTCAATTGACTGGATATAGGAATATGCTTTTTTGCAGGCAAATCCTGAGTTAGATCACAATTTATTTATTTATTTTTGTCATCAGCAGTAGCAGATATTGACTGCCAGTCACACTGGCTCCCAACTGGCTTTGAGAAGACCTGGCCTCCAGAGCCATTTCCTTCTTTGAAAGGATGGACATATTCCTACCTGAGAGAACTCTGTGAGTCTTGAGTGGAACTGATCACTTGTTTTTTTCTGTGTTGTATAAGGATGGTGCTTGATCAAGTAAGTTTTGTAGAGCTCCGAGTCAGCAAATCCTCAGCAGCTGAGTGTTCTGTAGCAGGACCAGGAACCAAGAGTTAAACATAGCAAGTAGGAAGACAGATATCTCAAGAGATGAGCAGTCATTTCTTCTCTAAAAGTAGCACAGTATCCAAGGGGGGTAACCTAGGAGGGATTTTGTCATGCCTTCACATAAACTGAGCAAGGCGTAGGTATAAAACATCCCCAATGAGAAGCTAAGCAGCATTCTGTGGTGCGAAATGTCACCTCTGGATGAGAGTGGCAGTGGCAAGGAGGTATTCAGAGAGAAATGGTTGAAGAGGAGACTGCTCTTGAAGAAGGACTGACCCACCACCATGTGTCCAGCTCTCCATTCTCTGTGATAGTGCTCACAGGAGTAACTGGAAGAGGCTGCTTTAAAACAGCCAGTGAATGCTAAACAATGTGCTTGCTGTTCCAGGATAGCCAGACATCCGCTATTTTCTGGGCAGCTCCATGCCACAGGTCACTTCCCAATTGTCAGTGCTCTCCAGCTGCCCTCATTTCACAGGCTCCTCTATGAAATTGCTCCAATAAGGCAGTAGAACTGCAGATGCCCTTGGCATTTGGAAGAGATATCTGCAACATTTGATTTTCTTTTGCTTCCTTCTGCTTCCTTGCCCTGTTATCCCTGGATTCTGCCTCTCCCTCTTTCTTAGTTCTGTCCCTGTACCATCCACTTTGGCCAAAATGCTCCAATTGTCTCTGAAAACCCTCTGCTTATATGCTGAACATCTCTGTATGAGCAGACCTCATTATCATGTGGCAAGAGGTCATTTACATATGCAAATCAGGTTAATGAGAACAGAACTGTAAAAGGCTTCATTCCAGAGGCATTTGCATATCCAGCTTTAGAAATATTTGAGTGCTCTGCCCCTAGCTGTGCAACCAGGACACAGAAGCCCTGGCAGTATGTCTTCAGTGGTGATTATATCCGCAGACAGCTGCCATCCTGGTTTGCAACAGCCACTATCCGAGGTACTGGCTCGTTTGAACACAGAGGGTAGTTGTGTAATGTGTGCTTCTGCACCAGACTACTAAGAAGCAGTTAAGCCTTGGCCCTTATTGGGACAACATGTGGGCTTCTGACAGGTAGATATATGCATTTTAGCACGAAGAATACAATTTCCTACGGTGCTGTCACTAATGCACGCCTGGTGGATGATGAATGAGGAAAACAATGCAGGTACCAGGCACGGCTCTCTAAGAATATATTGTGTGTGACGCGGCACCACGCAAAATGCTGACCGTGTTTATTCTCTAACTAACTGGGCCTCCAGCCCCCAGAGTACCCGGAGGGATCTCTTTTGGATGTTTGTGAATTATCCATGAGAGAGCCCAAATTCCCTTCTCTGCCACAGATCCCAGTGCCTCTCTTGGATGGGTTCTGAGCAAGTGTGTTAGGTGCCTTCTGGGTGTCTAATTGTGAAGCAGATTTGCACAAAAAGTTCCTTAGAAGAAACATCTTTTGCTGATCCCTTTTTTTTTCTGCTGTTTTTTTTTTTTTCAGGAAGGAATATGAATGCTTTTTCACTGTAAAGCTTTCTCAGGTATTGTTCTCTGCCAGGGACTTCCATGCCTGATTCCAGAGAAAAAAGGCAATTACATCATAATTTCTGAGAAAGGCTACTGATTTTCCCTTTGCTTCTGCCCTGTCCTTCTGACTAAGCTAATCAAGTTTCTGGCACATCCCAAAGACTAGTATCAGAAGAGACACTCCTTCTTGAAGGAGGTAGTTCTCTGCCTTGACACACTACCTCAACCTACACAGCTGCCAGGCAAATGCCAGGTGGGCAGCTTCAGAGTGTCTGATACAACCCTTACCACCTGGAAACAGAGGGAGGCTCTTACAAGTTCCCCAGAGCAAGTTATGGATGTCCCTGTGCCCTCTATCAGTAGGGAGAGCTCTGCACATCTGGCAGTCAGATAAACACACAGCAACTCAGTGTGCTTGGTACATGGTTTTGGTGATGACCCTGTATGGAATGAGCTGGGATCTTTGCCAGCCTCCAAAGTACAGGATCTAAAGTGAACTGCACAATTTATGCCCTCATTTTATCTCTACCTCCACTTATTCTTAGGAACATGCAGGTCATGTAGAATAATTTACCATATTTCAAATAATACTGTTCAATAGTTCAACAGAATATACAGTTCCATATACTACTGTCCATGTTTTTTCTCTCACTTGGCCTTGCACTTCCAACTCTAATGCCTCAGCGTGGGTCAAACCCCACTGCAGTAACTCCTCTGAGTGATTCCTGTATTGCAACACTTTGCCTGTAGCTATTCTCAGCAGCTCTAACATGACAGACAAGATGAATTATCTGTGTCTATAGGAGAAAGAATAGCTCCTACACTTTTGTGGAGGAGGAACCTGGGACCAAGCTGGTTCCTCCTCTCAGCTGATGGCTATCACAGAAGATTCTTTCTGTCCATACACAATAGACAGACACTTTGGCATTTGCCTACTTTATGACACATCAGTGGATGGACAACACTATCTAATAAATGAGCTGCTTTTTGCATGGAGTTGGTCTGCTGACTGAAGATGAGATTCTCACACCTGTAATGAAGCACAAATTTACCAGTGTGCCTGAATGTCTGGATATCCCTTAAGGCCTGTGCATTCACATGCCAGAGGTACAGCTCTGCTGCTGAGCAACCTATCTTATTGATAGCACAGCTGGATGTGGTCATGACTTCATCACTGACAGCTCACAGCTATAAGAATCCCTTCTTGTTTAAGAGCACTCAGGACTGAGCAGTCAGCATCCCTGCTGTGCCCCTAGATTGTCACCTTTGGAAGCTGATCTCTCAAAAAAGCATTCCATCGTTTCAGAGCAGAACTCTTCTCCTCTGTTCAACAAACTCTGCCACATGGGTTTGCTAAGAGAGGAGAAAAACAAAATACAAACTGCGAAAGGCTAATGAAACTGTAAGGCTAATGAAAGTTGAAGTCAGTTTTTCCATGTTTGAATTCTACTTTTCAACTATGGAAATTCAAATTTAAGTAGCTCAAACTTACCGTCTTGTCTTTGTTGTTTCTGGAGGTGTGTCTTTGTTTCGCTGAATGTCCCCTTTCCATTACGTTCACGTTTAAAGCTTCTCACACAGAATACAATTTGCCTCCTTGTGTAGCGTGAGATCAGAAGCCAGAGATTCTGTTTAGTAAACGACGGCTTAGGAGGTGTTCTGTTTTACATAAGCAATAGCCTAAAAGCAGCCAAACCAGAAGGGCAAAGAAAATGTAATCATTTCTAGGAAAAGGGAACAGCCCTCTCATTATCTTTTATTTGTTGGAAATATATATATGGATTTTTTTAAAGTATTAATAATAAACAGTTTTTCACTCAACCACTTTTCACATGTATAATGTATCTTCCACATTTTGCTTAAAATCCTGCCCTTCCCATCTTAAGAGCACTGAACTGATTTTATTGCCAATTCTGAAAAGTGTTAACAGGAGTAAATCACCCCTCAAATTACTGCTGTTGTTCCCTTGCCCTGAGCCAAATTCACTGCTAAGCACCTCTGACCACATAGCCCATATAAATGTTCATAATAGAGGAAGCGCCTCACATCTGCTTATTCTCACAGAATTAGGAAAAAAAACTTACAAAAACCTATGTCATTGTAGTTTTTGATATATAAAAACATATAGATTTGGTTATAACTTACTTCTTCATACCATATGCTCAATATTCAACAGAAAAATTAGTCAGATATGCAGGTGCCAAAAAAAGTGCACAAAATTAAGAAAAAAAAAGAAAAAAAGAAAACAGGGAAACTAAAGCTGTTTGGTGGTGTCAATTTTCATTGTGCACTACATTGTGGAAGAGCTTTTGAACTCTGGTATGGAGGAGCTTTATTAGAAACCAATTCTCCTCAGACCTCTAGAGGCCTAGTCCTATACAAGAGCAAGCCAGGTGCCAAAAAGAAAGAAGGAAACTCATATAGAAGTGTGTTTCTAAAGTATGAGCCAAACACAGTGAACTGCAGCAAGAATTGCTACCAATGAGTCTAAAATATTCCTACAAAAAATGAAAGATGTTTCTTACTTTTCTTTCCATCTCCTATATTCATTTCCCCTATTTTATTTTTCACTCGTAACATGTCCCTTGTTTTTGCCACTCTTGTGATACACTGTTCCTTTTCTCCTTTCCTTTTCTTTTCTTCCTTCATCTTTTGCTCTTCTGACGTCCTCTATTTCTCCTTCCTAATTCTCATCTCACAGTCTATCTCTGTGCCCTATTAACCTCCTTTCCTTGTTCCCTCTTATTTACCTCCTTTCCTTGCTCCCTCTGACTTAGAGTGGCATAAGCTCATGTAAAAGCTTAACAATGTAACTATGAACTTCAGACAAAAAAAGTGAAGCAGCAAATTACTTTGTATTATATTAGCTGGAATTAGTAAGCGCTGTTACAGAATTCCAGCTCAATAGAAGTGCCGTCACTTAAGTATCTGGACAGCTGGAAGTTTCATTTCATTTTCAGTGCTGCACTTTGCTCAGTTTTTGCTGATAGACTGACAAAGCCACCTGGTTGAAAATGAAATTATTTCAACAACTGTGAAATACTGCATTACATAACGGCCAACATAAAGCCATCATTCTCTGTGTTTACATTGGTACTGATTCTTAACAGCGTGCTGTTAACTCAGCATAAAGGTCTGCTGCTCTAAAACAATTCAGGTACAAGGACAACTCTTTTACAGCCAATCATGCTTTGTCCCTATAAAGAATTATTATATCAATCTAAACTGGCATGCAAATTAATGTTCACCCCTCAGCAGCTTAAATTTACATTGTGACCCACAGACTTTTCATATCCCACCACTGAAAATCATAACTCCATGATCACTACACGCACATCCACACTATCCCAAGAATCAATGGCTGCTACAGCCTTATACATATTACCGAATCCAGTTGCTTGTCAATTAACCCAGTACAACATCTGCATGAAGGATTTAAATAAGGAGCATCATATTATGCTGTGTGGTCGATAAAGCGAAAATGCAGGCACTGACAAGGCTTACCATTTGGCCTGATACCACAGCATCCGTCTCTCTGAATGGAAGTTATTTATGCTCCCACTGAATTATGGCTTGTATTCAAATATTGGCAAGGATGCAATGTACAAAAAGTGTAACATCTACAGTATGCTGTGGTTGGCTATAGCTCTTGGGGATCTCTTAAAAGGGTAATTTCTCCTTCAGGAGCGTGGCTGTCAGTCCGGGACTTGGGGGTGTATCCTTTTAATCTCAGAAAAAAGGTACTATTGAAAAAATTACAGGAGGAGCAGATGTGTTCTTCAGCACATACATGGACAGCGGAAAGAACACCTTTCACAGCACTGGCTAAATAGAAGCTCTATTAGAAAGAATCCTGACTTTTATAAAGTGAAATGAGGTTCAGCTTTTTTCTCCATCAGGAAAAGCAAATGAGCTGATGAGAATAATGAAGTGCATCACATTGACAAAGGAGTTGAATCTGGACACTCTAAGAGAACTAAACTCCTTTATAATTTAAAATAACAAAACTGCCCCCAGTACAATGAGATGTCCCACATACAATCAGTATGAGCACACAGAACAACTGTCCTCCCAGTCAATAGGAACTGCACTGTTTTCTCCAGCTGGAAAGACATCTCCTGCTCTTGAGCAAACTGGTGATCTGCAAGTTGTGAGTGAGATAAAAGGAAATCTCTCCCACTGAAGAGTTGCAAACAAGTGAGATAAAGTAAGTTTAAAGGGTTCCTGGTATGTTTAGCTCAAATGTTGGGCTCTGTGTCAAATAACTTGTTATTGACTTAACCATGATAGAATGTTTCCATTAAGAAATATTGCAATGGAAACAACTTAATTTAAGACAGAAGTAGTACCTGCGGAACAAACTTGTGGCATAGTGCTGCTGCACAAGCCAGGCATGATGCATATTAGAAGAAAGAGAGGCTGTCTAGTGTTTTTCCATTGCTCAACTCAAAAGAAACTCAGAAAAGAAACATGGGTCAAGAGCTAAAATTTGGGAACTGAGTATCTACATATGGATTGTAAAAAACACACTATCACTGAATTCAGTATCAGATTGATTACAGACATCAGTGCCCACATCCACTGCCTTCAAGGGATTAATACCACAGGCTATAGACACACCGTCTATAACGCTGCTGCTTCTTTTGAGAAAGCACGCAGGATCACTCTTGAGGAGAAAAGACAACGCAGAAAGAATCGTGTCTTGAAGAATATACCACCTAAGGAGTCTTTCTGCTGTGCCTTTTGCAACTAGACGTTCCTATCTCATATTGGCCTTTTTAGTCACCAACGCGCTTGTAACAAACGTGGGTAGAGCCCTCCACAAATCTCCGTTCGTGAAGCCCAGCCATGATGAAAGACGAACCATAGGCTATAAGGTTCCATAAAAAGTTTCCTTCTACATCCCTTTCTCCCATAAAATAATATTTCAAACTCTTGATAGTTCACATATGAATGCATGACATAATAAGCCCTATTAAAGCATACAAAGACAACTTTCAAGTCACTCCTGAACACTCTCAAAATTTGGGAGCTCCCTAAATTTGAGAATTTGGCTTGGTACTGCAGGACAGCAAATCAAAATGTTTGCCTCTGAACTCCCTAGGTCCCCAGGTGTCCAAGGGTGAGGCCTCATAAGAATTGCATATCTTCAGGAAACAGGCAGCATAAAGACCAAAGAGCTTTAACAAGTGAGAACACAACCGAGATTTTGGCTTTATAAAACCTTAGCTGATTTAATAGGAAAGGGCCTGTCTGAAACAGAAGCTAAAATGAACCCTCTTTGCCTCTCCCTTTTGCTCAACTTTTAAATTAAGTTCACAGCATTATACGTAGTCCTCTACTCTTGTTTAAAGCTCAGATGATTTTGTCCATGCTAAGAATGTATTTTATTGAATATTGACTTACATGTTTTGCAACATGCTTATTCCTGGGGTAGATGGAGCCACTGAGAAATGAGGCTGCCATGGAAAACTGGAAGATTCACAAGGACCGTAGGCTGCATCTTTGAAAAGCGTTGCCATGGTTGCAATGGAGTGAACCTACCCCTTCCTCTGGTTCTGCCACAGAACTTGGAGCCCTTGATGAGGTGGATGTTATAACCAGCCAAACAAGGGGGCACAAGGAGTGGGAAACAAGAATATAACTGCAGAGAGATTTGGGAGGTCAATGCATGGGTGCCCCAAACTGTGATGTTAGCAATGCAGCCCCTTGAGAAAGGATGACCTCTCCTCTCAAACCATATGGCAAATATCTTCTGAAAGGTGAAAAGTACTTGTAGGACTGTGTGTGTAGGTGGGGGCTGTTAGCCTGACCATGATAAGGTCAGGAATCAAAACTTAAGAGACAGATGAATGTTCTCATGGTAAAAAGTAGGAAAGGAAAATTTTCTTAATAGGTATGGAACTATACAAAAGTTGTATGATGGAGAACTGTTGATGATGGAGAACTAAGAAAAATCAAAGTAAACCTCTGTAAACAATAATCTCTTCCACTTGGTAGATTCTGTATGAAGATATCTGAGAAAAAAAGGGGCCGAAATACTCCTGAAGATCTCTCCCACAGCAAACTGCAAAAAGCTACAGCATGCTACAAACAGCTAGAGAAAATGGCCTCTCTCCTAGTACAACACAGCCTTCGAGTGAGATACTAACCTGTAAAAATCATAAATTACTTATTTTTACAGAAATCATCCAGACAGAAATATATACTTAGCTACCAAAACTACACTTCCTCAAAGCACCACAAGAATAAATACACACCTTGATTTTGCAGAGAAAACTACCATGACTCTGTGTAAGTGTAAACAGTGTAAGCAGCAAGTAATAATGCTTTTTTGTCTCACCTTAAATTATATTGGAGAGATCCGAGCAGAGAAACAAGTACTTGTGTAAGCTGCACAAGTCTTTTTATCCCTGTCTCATATTAAGTATTACCAGGCTATAAAGAATCAGGGACACAAGTATCGAGAGAGCTAAAATAAAATAATACCAATGACGGTCATAATAATATATTTATGTCTCTTTTCCTTTTGGTTCCAGAGCTGCTACAGCACACAACATAAGTTTCTGCTGCAAATAAGAGGACCAGAAACAGACTTTTGTCCTTTTAGGTGAAAGCCAAAATTCTTACTTGAGTTATGGAACTGGAGCTTTATAGAATTTCTACCACAGAACATCAGTATCACAGAACAATCATGAGAGCTGACAATACTGTATTATGGAAAGTACACTTAGGAAACGAGTAAAAATTGTGCACCAGCGTAAATTACAGCCACACCTTATTCAAAAAGAGCCACACAATCAATGTCAAAAATGGGTAGAACTCCCAGGAAGATGTGTACTTGTAAATTAGTGGATGAAATTTAATATATAAGGAAAGAAACACTGCACAGTGCAGGAGATGGCTCAGGGCAGGGTAGCATCCACACAAAAAACCCATCTCCCATTTCACTGAAATCCCCAAAGAAGTAATGGCGAGTGACAGCCATCGATGGAGAGCTTTTGGCTGGCTCACCTGAAATCACGTTGGCAGAACATACACCAGTCTCAGCTCTGCCGAACCAACAGGCCAGCTTGTGTAGGATCCCAGCCTGAGCAGGCTCAGGCGAGTTTCATGGCACTTAGGGGAACACATGTGTGCACTTTCAGAAAGGAGCTCAAGGCTTCAAAGGGCAGGCACTGCCTCAGCCCCTGCTCCTGAGTGAAGGTCTGTGGGTTATCAGAAGTGGGGGCCACGGGGTACCATGGCTCTCAGTACTCAGCACCCCCAAAGCAGCATGGCCCCTGCCCAGGGCCAGCCTGTTTGGCTTAAGAAAAGACAGTGAGAGGGGACCTCGTTGATGTGTGTATATATCTGTAGGCAGGGTGCCAAGAAGATGGAGCCAGGCTCTTCTTGATGGTGCCAACCACCAGGACAAGAGGCAACGGGCAGAAAACTTGATGCACAGGAAGTTCCACCAGATCATGAGGAAGAACTTCTTTACTGTGCCGGTGACCCCACACTGGAACAAGTTGCACAGAGAGGTTGTGGAGTCTCCCTCACTGAGAGAGGAGATACGTGAATATCTGTGGAGATATTCAAGTACGTCTGGACACAATCCTGTGCCATGTGCTCTGGGATGACCCTTTCTGAGCAGGGAGGTTACACCAGATGACCCGCTGTGGTCCCTTCCAACCTTACTCATTCTGTCATTCTGTGATCCTTTACGTAGCATAAAATTAGATTTCTGTTCCTTTTTACACCTTCGTGGCCATTTGTTCCAAACCGACAAAGCGTTTCTAATTTAGAGATGTTGAAGAGGGGTGAAGCCGCGGGCCGAGGCCTGCCGAGGGGGCGCGGCAGCCCCGTGAGGGGCTCGGCGGGAGAAGCCTCAGCCCCGACCCAGCCGTGACTTTCCGAAGCTGCAGCCGGCGATGGGAGGACATGTGCCGGCCCTAAACCCACGGAGGAGCGTTCTCCGCTGAAACCTCCGCCTTCCCCTGACGCCACCGAGGCAGCTGGAGGTGCGGCCCCCCGCCCCGCCGCTCCGGGGCGATCCAGGCCGGGTTTCGCGGGCGGTCGGGCCCGGCCGGCGGAGCCGCGCTCCCCGCGGCAGAGCAATCGCGGCCGGGGCGCGGTGGTTCCTGCGCCGGGCCGCGCTCTGGAGGGGGCAGGGAGCTCCCAGCGGGAGCCGGGAGGGAGGACTGCGTCCTCGGCCCGCGTCCGCCGCGGGAGCGAGCAGCATTCCGAGTTGGAGCCGGCTCGCCGCGCCGTGCCCGGGGCTGTTCCGCCCCTCCCGCCGCTGCTGGCGGCCGCGGGGCGCGGGCACTCGGGCTCTTGGCGGAGCGACCCGGAGCCGGTCCCGGGTCCCGCGGGCTATTCCCGCATATTGTTTCCCTGAGAAGTGCCGGGAGGCGGGGGGTGGGAAGGGGGATCTGTCCGCAGTTGCTCCACGTGCATCAATAGTTGTCAGTAACATCAAACTGACGTCATCCTCGGGTAAAAAGATCTCTCTTTTGTTCTCATTCCCTCCCACCACTTCTCCCCCCCTCTGCCACCCTCCCCCGCCCCCCCGCCCCCCCTCTCGCCTTGAAAATCAAAAGCCAGAACATTTGCAAAAAATAAAAATAATAAGAACTCCTCTCCCCCACGTTAATTGCAATGCAAAGGGAGATGTTGCATTACGGATCCTGCCTGGGCTGTGCTGGGCTCTAATGAATGCGCCGAGCCTTTGATCTGGGTGAGTCAGTTGGGTTCAGTTGTGCCGGAAGGTTAGTTGCACATCCTGGCTGATCTGAAATTCGATCAGCAGAGGGGGCAAAGAAAAAGAAAAGCATTTTAATGGGAATCAATAGAGGATCATAGGGTCCTGGAAGGAAATAGGTGTTGATTAAAGATGCTGTGTGGGTTTTGTTGGCTTTTTCTTTTTTTTCTTTTTTCTTTTTTTCCCCATGTACACGACTTGTTTAAAAATAAATAAACACCAAAAGCAGCCCGGCAGAAACGAGAGAGGGCAGGCTGGAAAACAGCTTTCCCAATCACCCGTGTGTTTGTGTTCCAGGGAGGCAGTCAGCAGACCGAGAGTTTGTGCAATGCTTCAAGCTACAGCGCGCAAATTTAAAGCAGTAGGCTCCAAAGGATAACTCCCGTTCTTACTGCACTGCATTTCTGTGCCTGAGCTGTTTACTAGTGCATTATGAAATAAGCCCAAAACATTCCTCTCCCTCTCTCCAAACCAACTTGTTTCTTCTCCCCTCCCCGCTCTCCCCTCCTTTCCTGCCTGCTGCCGAGCGACAGGGATTCGTGATACCCGACACGAAGGGGTAAACCTGTTTTGTTGAGGTCACAGGGTTTTATAGCTAAACTTTCTAGGCACGTTTTCACCGTTTAGGAAATACCGAGCTGGAACGTTCTGTGTATGTTGCCTGACTTTACGTGAAAAAGAGGGAATTACAATTGTGTTGAACATTTTTTCACTCAGAAGGAGGTGAGTCAACTTCCTACACAAAGACTTGAATCACCTGCTCTGCACATTGCGATAAAATCGGGCCTCTGTTCCATTCATGTGTTCGTGCACACATGCACACACAAAAATGGGGATTGCAGTTGAAGAACAGGGAGAAGAGCTGTGGGCGGAAGGCTGAACATTCCTGGCATGAGTATATGGTGTGCGTCATCATAGAAAGAGGGCATTGCTGAGCCACGGCGGTCATGTTTTTATCCAAATGGGAAACCTTCTGATCAGTTGAAGTTTCTTGTTGAGATATCATTTGTTCTGGTTTTGCCTTCTGACACGGCTCTCCCTAGCTGCTGTTAAAGACTTTAGTACAATTCAAAACTGTTGCTGTTAATCGCATTACGGTGGTATGTACAAGTCCCATGGAGAGCATGAATTCAGGCAGATGCTCATTAACAGGCAGCTTTTCAAATGGGGAGACAGAGTGAGAGGAGAGACCTCACTGATGTAAGGCCAAAGAGGTTTCCTGACTCCCAGGTAAACGTAGGCCGTGCTGTCTCACCATGTGGTGTTTTAACATCCTTATCAATAGCTGAATTATAGTCACAGTGATGATTTCCATTCTGAATAAGAAATAGGAAACATTCTATCTTTATAGTTTTTGCCCAATGTTTGTTTAAACAAAAAGTGTTTTGGGGCTCATTTTTGGGTGCTCTGGCAAATACTTATCATAATTTGCCTCCAACTGAATTAAGCATTTGTTTACTCCACTGTGAGATCTGGTCATTTTAAGATCTTTTTTTTTTCTTTAGAGGAATGATGGTGAGGCATAGGTACCAGGACCAAGTTTGGCATTGACAGATATGCAGGTAGTATCAATATATGTCTGTCTTAGTCAATCCTTATTTCAGTGGTCTTTGGAGAAAACTGGTGGAAAGGCAGTGTTAGACAACATGACAACTTGAGGATGACCATTTTATAATAATATGAGGACTTATTCTCCTGTTAGATGTAATTAATTTATTTTAAAATTATGATGACAACAATAATAAACTATTTTCTGCAAAATAAAGTGCAGTGCAATGTGGAATATAATATGTGCCATTGTCACGTATTATCCTGCAAACACATGGAAGACAATGGAAGGTCATATATCTAAATTAGCTCTTCTAGGTTTGTGCTCATGGAAGGTACCAGATTAATAGCCTAGGAGAATGAAGGGCTTCTTTTATTGTCAGAACAGGTACAATCATGGGTTCTTTCCCACACCTTACCTTACTCGTCACTGCCTAAAACCATTTTTGGGATAGACCACAATCACACCCAGAACCTGCATAGACTTGTGTTCTTAAATTTATTTGTAGAGCTAAGTCATTAGTACTAAGAGGCTGTGGAGACCTGAGAGGCTGCGGAGGCTGAGCTATCTGCTGAGAATGCTAAGAAAGTTGTGAATTATTCGATTTTTATGTGGATACTTCTGAAATATCACTGGAATGTTTCATATAAGCCAACTTTCAGCAGATTACCTGCTTCCATCCTGGCCTAGATTTGATCTATGAATGAATGGCTCTCAAGCTCTTAAAAATGCCCTGGGCAATCCTGTTTTATTATCGCCACCATTGTTTTTCCATTCAGATACCACAGGGATGAACACAATCAGTGGAGAAAATGAAAATCAAATTGCCTACCAAGAGCTGACCATATGGGGCAGCTGGTTGCTGCTTCCCAGCCCCCTACCTGATGTCTCTTCCCTGCCTCCGATGATGTGATACTGAGCGCTAGTCAGTCCCTGTCACCCCTTCCAAATTTGCTTTTATGCTGCAGACAAGCAAATTTCCTCAGGTTTTACATTTTCTGAGAATGTATCCTCTTTTCCCTTCAGTTTCCTTGGGCCTCTGCAGGCTAAAAGTCTTTGTTTGGTGTGCGCCCCCCCCACTCCCCCCTGCCTACTTCTGCTCCCTTGCATATGAACACTGGGCCTAGAAATAAGGAAAGGAGGCCAAGAGGAAAATGTGTCTCACTGAGACTTGCCAGATATCCGAGTTGCATGTGGAGAGACAGAGTTTCAGCTCATGTGTCTGGCTCGGACAGCAGTGTAGACCATTAAACATCCTGTTGCCTGTCTTGTGCTGGACAGACAGCACAGCTCTTCATGCTGACACCTGGAGGGGCTGGAAGGACTGGAGGAAAGGGAGTTATTACTGTGTTGAGTTGAGATAGATCTGGTGGGTTATTTGTGATTTCTGTGCCCAGGACTTCATTTTATGCTACATCTGAAGAATGAGGACACTGGGAGGAAGAGAGGTATCTGCAATCAAATACTGTCACTTGTCAGGTTAAAGAGCACAGTGCAGGTTTCTCCCTGCCAGCTTGTCCCCTTGGAGTGTCTGGCCCTTGATTTCTGCAGGGTTCCACAACAGTGATGGGTAGTAAGTTATTGTTATTATTATTATTATTATTTGCTCATTGCTTCATGGCAGCTCACATGGCCCAGTAAAAACTGGATGCCACTGTGCTTGGCACTGTGTAAACTGTGGTACTGTGTCCTGCCACCCGAGGAATTTACAGTCTGAATAGACAAGGCCAACAAGGGCATGAGACAGAGTCATACAGGAAAAAAACCCAAGCAACTACCAAACAGAAATCCCCATGTGTTAACTTACAGACTGTCTGGTTTTTGACAGTTCCAGAAAGGGTACAGTTTAAAATACCTGTGTTGCTAGATAAAAACACCCTCCTCCCTCAGGCATATTAACAAAAATTAACAGGAAAAGTGCCAAGGTGCTTATGCCATGGTACCTTAACACATTTCACTGTGCTTCATTGTTCTCAGTCATTGTTCTCGGATCATGGAGCACACAGATTGTGTAATACCTCTGACTATTCTGGGACACTTAGTTTAGCATAGTTACTCTCAGTGGGGTGAAGGAGAAACTCTGCAGTAGCTTTAGCTGAGCGTGTTTTACTGCTTTGTGTCCTGACTTCCAGTAATCTTTGAGAATT